GAATATTCATTCTAACTACATATTTTATAAAGTCTACACCTAATAATTATAACTGTAATAATTATTTATGCTAGTACTGAGTCTTGAACTCAGGGTTGGGCACTATCTCAGAGTTTTCTTTGTTTGTTTTTTTGGTTGGTCGTGGGGCCTGAACTCTGGGCCTGGGCGCTGTCCCTCAGCTCTTCAGCTCAAGGCTAGCTCTACCACTTGAGCCATAGCACCACTTCCAGCTTTTTCTGCTTATGTGGTGCTGAGGAATTGAACTCAGGGTCTCATGCATCATAGGTAAGGACTCTACCACTGAACCACCTTCCCAGCCCTTCCCAGAGCTTTTGTGCTCAAGGCTAGGCTCTACTAATTGAGCCACAGCTCTGCTTCTGGCTTTTTGGTCGTCAATTGGAGATTTGAATCTCATGGACTTCTTTGCTAGCAAACCACAATCCTGAGATTTTAGCCTCCTAAATAGCTAGGATTACGGGCATGAGCTCAGTTTAAGTCTACATATTCTTAAGGAATATACAGGTGCTTTTCCTGCATGCCATGACTATTTATAGCATCCTTTACTAATGGTAATATGGATTCTAAGACATGGTTGAAGGTTTCATTGTTGGTGTAAACATTGTAGAGTATACTTACACAAACCTAGATGGTATAGCCTGTGGCTTCTAGGCTATAACCTGTGTAGCATGATGCTCTGCTGACTGCTCTGGGCATTTATAACACAATGGTTTTTGTGTATCTAAACCTAGAAAAGATACAGTGAAAATATGGTAAAAGATTAAAGAATGATCTAATTATATTGAGTACATTCCGTGAATGGATCTTGCAGGACTAGCAGTTGCTCCGAGTGAGTTAGTGATAAATGAAAAAGAGACCTAGGACACTGCACTGCAGTAGACTATAGACACTGTAGACTTGTGCTACCCTTGATGCGCAGAAAACATTTTTCTTCAATGAATTTTTAATTTTTAGTCTTTGATTCTGATTCTTGTAATAATACCTGGCTTGAAACACAAACACATTGAAGAGTTTTTTAAACATACTTTCTTTCCCTCCCTCCCTCCTTCTCTCCCTTCCTTCCTTCTTTCCTCAGTCTTGGGGCTTGAACACAGGGCCTGAGCATTGTTCTTGAGCTTTTTTTGCTCAAGGCTGTCACTCTACCACTTGAGCCACAGCACCACCTCTGGCCTTTTCTGTTTATGTGGTATTGAGGAATAGAACCCAGGGCTTCCAGCATGCTAGGCGAGCACTCTACCACTAAGCCACATTCCTAGCCCTGTTTTCTGTCTTTTTCTCCTTGTTGCATAAGCTTCATTTTATTTAAATTAAAACTTGATTTTTAAAGCTTTTAAGATTAAAATTGTAGCCGGGCACCAGTGGCTTATGCCTGTAATCCTAGCTGCTCAGGAGGCTGAGATCTGAGGAATGTGGGTTCAAAGCCAGCCCAGGCAGGAAAATCTGTGAGACTCTTATCTGGAGTGGTGCTGTGCCTCAGAGTGGTAGAGTGCTAGCCTTGAGCTGAAGAGTTCAGGACCAGAACCGAGGCCCAGAGTTCAAGCCCCACAACTGACAACAAAACAAAAAAAAACCCATACACATTAGCCTAGCCTACCCAGGATTAGTATTGCCAGCATCTGTCTTCTGCTTCCGCATATTGTCCCCCTGGTTGTCTTCAGGGGCAAGAATACATTTGGAGCTTTCATTTCTTTTAATAACAATACCTAGTTCTGAAGTATTTCCCAAAGACTATCTGGAAGCTGTTTCACACCAAATAATTACATTTTTAAAAAAGTAAGTAGGAGTATACTTTAACAACAAAAGATATAGTATAGTAAATACTTAAATCACCAACCTTTTGCCATTGGTTAATATTATATGCTGTACAAAATGATTTGGTATTTTTCTTTATAACCAGCAGTAAAGTAGGTTTCTTCGCCACTAGCATCACTGACAGATGTGAGTAACACATTTTGTTCCATTGTCACAAGATCACCATGTAGCCATCACTAGGTGATAGGAATTTTTTAGATTCATTATAACTAGATGGGGTCACATCATGTATGGGGTACATCTTTGTCCAAACTGTCATGTTGCATGATGATACTTTACTAGTATCACATAGTAATAAGTCTGTAGACTTTCAGCTGTAAATCCTTTTTGGACATGGGTTTTCATTTTAATCTTACAAGGAAGTGCCAAACAGTTCTTCAAAACGGCTATACCATTTTCATACTTCTGATACTTATTTATGTGAGTTATGTGAGCTGACTAACATTTGGTCTGGTCATTTTTTTCAAATTGTAACTTTATTAGTGTATATATACTGTTATTTAACTTGTATTTCCGTGATGCCATTATTAATGTGTACTTACTGCTTGTATTTCCTTGATGTCTAAAGATGCTGAACCCTTTTCAGGTGCTTATTGGTCTTTTGATCATCTTGTTTTTGGAAAGCATCAAATTTAAGTCTTTTTTTTTGGGGGGGGGGTTGGTCGTGGGCCTTGAACTCTGGGCCTGAGAGCTATCCCTGAACTCTTCAGCTCAAGGCGAGTGCTCTGCCGCTTGAGCCATAGCACCACTTCTGGTTTTCTAGTGGTTTATTGGAGATAAGAATCTCTCAGACTTTCCTGCCTGCGCTGGCTTTGAACACGATCCTCAGATCTCAGTCTCCTGAGTATCTAGGATTACAGGCGTGAGCCATGGGCACCGGGCTAAGTCTTATTTTTTTTAAGTATAGCATTCACTTCCTAAATTATTAATTTTAGGAGCTCTTTTTGGTCAGTCAGGAAGCTTGAACTCAGGGCCTGGGTGCTGTCCCTGAGCTTTTTTGCTCAAAGCTAGTGCTCTACCACTTTTTTTTTGCCAGTCCTGGAGCGTGAACTCAAGGCCTAGGCACTGTCCCTAAGCTTAAGAAGCTCAAGGCTATGGACTGGAAAGGTGGCTAAGAGGTAGAGTGCTTGCCTTGCATGCCTGAGGCCCTGGGTTAGATTCCTCAGCACCCCATAAGCAAAAAGAAAAAAGCCGGAAGTGGGGCTGTGGCTAAAGTGGTAGAGCGCTAGCCTTGAGCTGAAGAGCTGAGGGACAGCGCCCAAGCCAAGTGTTCAGGCCCCATGAACGGACCCCCCAAAAAAAAAAAAAAAAAAGAAGCTCAAGGCTAGCACTCTACCGCTTGAGCCACAGCATCACTTCCAGCCTTTTCTGTTTATGTGATACTGAGGAATCAAACTCAGGGCTTCATGCATGCTACACAAGCACTCTACCACTAAGCCATATTCCCCACACCACACTCTACCACTTTGAACCATAGCACCACTTCCAGTTTTCTGGTAGTTAATTGGGGATATGAATCTCATGGACTTTCCTACCCGGGCTGGCTTTGAACTGAAACCCTCAGATCTCAGCCTCTTGAGTAGCTAGGATTAGAGGTGTGAGCCACTGGCCTGACTGGCTAATTTTAAGAGTTCTTATATTTGGACCAGTCTTTTGTCAGCTATATGAATTTGTCAGCTATATATATATGGCTTATTTTTTCTGTCTGTCTGTGCATCTGTCTGCCTGTCCTTCCATTCCTTCCTCCCAAACTTCCCTTCTTCGCATATGTTCTTTTTCCATGAAGCTTGCCTAACACTTTTCTTTTTCCCACCAGATTTCCTCTTACTTAAATTGCTAATAGAATTTCGTTCCTGTGGTTGTTTTGAGATGGGCTCTCACTGAGTTGCTGAGACTTGTCTCAAACTTGTGGGCTCAAGTGATCGTCTGCCTCAAGCTCCTCAGTAGCTGAGACTATGGGCACGCACTACTGCGGCCAACTGCCTAATACAAATTTTTTATTTTTTCCTGTTGGTCATGGGTCTTGAACTCTGGGCCTGGGCACTGTCCTTGCACTCTTCAGCTCAAAGCAAGTGCTCTACCGCTTGAGCCACAGCATCACTTCTGGTTTTCTAGTCCTTTATTGGAGATAAGAGTCTTACGGGGTTTCTTGCCCGGACTGGCTTTGAACCATGATCCTCAGATCTCAGCCTCCTCAGTAGCTAGGATTATAGGCGTGAGCCACTGGCACCTGGCCCTAATACGAATTTTTTTTTTTTTTTTTTTTGTCGGTCATGGGGCTTGAACTCTGGGCCTGGGCACTGTCCCTCAGCTCTTCAGCTCAAGACAAGCGCTCTACCACTTGAGCTACAGCGCCACTTCCGGTTTTCTGGTGGTTTATTGGAGATAGGAGTCTCACAGTCGCTCCTGCCCGGGCTGGCTTTGAACCGCGATCCTCAGATCTCAGCCTCCTGAGTAGCTAGGATTACAGGCGTGAGCCACCAGCGCCCGGCAATACGAATTTTTAATAGAGACCAAGACAAATTATGGTGGAGCTAATAGAAGTATTTAATATAATTTGTTACTTCATATTTTGAAACTGTATTTTTCCAAATTTCAAAACTTCTAATTTTGAAATTAGATATCATATAAAGGTTTTTTAAGACAGTAGCTTCTGGGCTGGGAAGGTGGCTCAGTGGTAGAGCTCTTGCCTTGCATGTTGGGGGCCTTGGTTCGATTCCTCAGCACCACATAAGCAAAAAGAAAAAAGCCGGAAGTAGCGCTGTGGCTCAAATGGCAGAGTGCTAGCCTTGAGCTGAAGAGCTGAGAGACAGCGCCCAGGCCCAGAGTTCAGGCCCCAGGACTGGACCCCCCCCCAAAAAAAAAAGACAGTAGCTTCTGCTGGGCAGTGGTGGCTCATGCCTGTAATCCTAACTACTCTGGAAGCTGAGATCTGAGAATCATGGTTCAAAGCCAGCCCAGGCAGGAAAGTTGTGAGATTCTTATCTTTAGTTGACCACCAGAAAACCGGAAGTAGTGATGTGGCTCAAGAGGTAAATCACTCGCTTTAAGCTGAAGAACTGAAGGACAGCTCCTAGGCCCAGAGTTCAAGACTCATGACCAAAAAAAAAGTAGCTTCATTAGGTATCACTGTGATATGCTATTTTGAGTAGTTTTTAATTATATTTTAGATTGTTAGAGACGGATTGTAAGTCTTTAAGATCTGTAAATGGGTCAAGAAGAAACAGTGGGTCCTCTCTTGTATCGAGCTCATCAGCCTCCAGCAACCTCAGCCACCTTGAAGAAGATTCTTGGATTCTCTGGGGAAGAATTGTTAATGAATGGGATGATGTGCGCAAAAAGAAGGAAAAGCAAGTTAAGGTATTTGTGTTCTTTATTAAAGTTTTTTTCTTCTTTTCCCAAACAGGGTAAGGCACAGATTAATAGAGGAATATGAGAAGAAGGAAAAGAAAAAAAAAGATTCTAGTAATTCCTAAGCTATGTAATAAAGATTTGCTTTACATGCTGTGTGTGTGTATGTGTTTTCCTGGACAAGACTTTGCACTTGCTAAATTGGTGCTCTACCACTTGAGCCAACACTTCCAGTTCTTCTTTCTGCAAATTATTTTAGAGAAAGAATCTAGCTAGCTAACTCTTCTGTCCAGGCTAGCCCCAAACCACGATCCTCCAGATCTGAGCCTCCTGAGTAGGTAGGATTACTTTATATGCGTTATTTATGGCCATAGAAGTTTTGATTTGTAGGGATCAACCCTCAAAATGTAGAAATACATAGTTCAAAATTATTTTAGAAATTAAATTTGAAGATCTTACAGAGTTCTGATATCTTGTATCCTTGAATTATCAGTATTTTACCATTTTTGACCTCATCAGCCTTTTGAAATGTGATGGCTATGGGACCATCATTCATAGCTCTGTAGGATACCAAATCCTTGTTACCTTTAGAAGGTACACTCTGTGAAAGCACCAGAAATTACCATGGCTCTGTAGTAGTCTCCAGACCAGAACAGGACATACTGAAGCTCAAAATCTTAGCTTTTTTTGAAAAACTTTCCTTGCCAGTTGTGATGCCTTTAGTTTTAGGGCTTACGGGACCAAGGCAGGAAGTGTGTAGCCTGTGCTATATGGTGAGTCCCTGTCTGAAGAGTCTTGCCCCTCAAATTGTAAATTTAATAAAGTTTTTCATTGTACCTCCACCCATCACCCTGACTTGAAACAACAGCATTTAAATAGTTTACTTTTTAAAAATTATTTTCCTTTTGTTTTTTTTTTTTTCCAGGAACTTGTTCGTAAAGGGATACCCCACCACTTTAGAGCAATAGTTTGGCAACTTCTATGCAGTGCACAAAGTATGCCAATTAAGGATCAGTATTCAGAGCTCTTGAAAATGACCTCACCTTGTGAGAAATTGATCCGAAGGGACATTGCTAGAACTTACCCTGAACATAATTTTTTTAAAGAAAAGGATAGTCTCGGACAAGAGGTTTTATTTAATGTAATGAAGGTAAGTTTTATGTATTCATTTTAAGAAATAAAATTTATACATTTCCCATGATGGAGCATGAGTTCCCATCACAGTAATCAGTTGCTTTGACAATAAAATTGATTTTAGTACAATTTCTGCTTTAATTCTGATGGAACATAACTGTCTGTCTTGGAGAACTTAGGAGAAAATGCATCTCATTATTCAGCATTGGTTGACAGAAATAAAATAACCTATTATCACAGAGCTTAGATCCCCTGAGAAGTTGTTTAGTTCAACTATATGTGCTTCATACTGAGGAATGCAGGTTTCTGCTCTCACGGCTGCATCCATTTGACTTTTCTGCATGCAGTGATTTTTTTTGCGGGGGGGTTCCCGGTCGTGGGGCCTGAACTCTGGGCCTGGGCGCTGTCCCTCAGCTCTTCAGCTCAAGGCTAGCGCTCTACCACTTGAGCCATAGCGCCACTTCCGGCTTTTTTCTTTTTTGCTTATGTGGTGCTGAGGAATAGAACCCAGGGTCTTAGGCATGCAAGGCAAGCCCTCTAACACTGAGCCACCTTCCCAGCCCAAAATACCAATTTCTTATTAAGTCATTTCTCTTTATGTAGTGCTGAGGAATCGAACCCAGAGCCTCTTGCATGTGAGGCAAGCACTCTACCACTGAGCCACATTCCCAGCCCTACCTTCATTAATTTTATTTGATTTTGTTTTAAAAGCTCTGTCTTTCTGAATATAAATTCCTTTATTTGAGGTACCACATTTTTAGTTTTTCCTTCTTGAGTGGTACAAAGGTTTGAACTTGAGGTCTCAGGCTCACTTGGCTTACTTGAGACATGCCTCTACCCCTGCATTTGCTGGTTAATTATTAGAGCTGGAGCTTCATGGACTCTTCTGCTCTGGCTGGCCCCAAAATTTGATCCTCTGGATTTCAGTTTTCTGAGAAGCTAGGATTGCAGATGTGGATCATCAATGCCCAGAATGAGCTGCTATTTTTATTTTTATTTATTTTATTTATTTTTTTGGGTCTGGTCGTGGGCCTGAACTCTGGGCCTGGGTGCTGTCCCTCAGCTCTTCAGCTCAAGGCTAGTGCTCTACTACTTGAGCCACAGAGCCACTTCAGGCTTTTTTTCTTTTTGCTTATGTGGTGCTGAGGAATCGAACCCAGGGCCTCAGGCATGCAAGGCAAGCGCTCTACCATTGAGCCACCTTCCCAGCCCTGAGCTGCTATTTTTAGATTGAGAAGTTGTCAAAAGAAATTTTACATGAATAGACTGTGTGTCTATGTTTGTGTGTGTGTGTGTGTGGGGGGGGGAAGGTGAGGAGAGAGTAAGATTCCTGGGGCTTGAACTCAAGGCCTAGGCTCTGTACCTAAGCTATTCTGTTTTTTGCTTTTTCCTTTCTCATCAAGGCTGGTGTTACACATGTAGCTTTTTGGTAGTTAATTGGAAGTCTCATGAACTTTCCTGCCTGGGCTGGCTTCGAACCTTGATGTTCAGATCTCAGCTTTCTGAGTAGCTAAGATTACAGGCATGAGTCATTGGCATCTAGCTTATAAATGAACTTTTAATATATTCATCAACATTAGGTTTTTGGAGAAGAAAGGTATAATATACCATATTGGAATTTTTTTTTTCTTGGCTGGTCCTGGGTCTCAAACTTGGCCTGGGCACTCTTCCTGAGCTCTTTTTGCTGAAGGCTAGCACTCTACCAAAACTTCCAGCTTTTTTGTTAGCTAATTGGAGACAAGTGTCTTACAGACTTTCCTGCCTGAGCTGGCATCAAACCATGATCCTCAGATCTCAACCTCCTGAGAAGCTAGGATTACAGTTGCGAGCCACCATTTTGAAATTTATGTATGTATGTATGTATGTTGGTCCTGGGGCTTGAATTCAGGGCCTGAGCATTGTCTCTGAGCTTTTCTGCTCAAGCCTAGCACTCTATCACTTTGAGACACAGCTCCACTTTTTTTTTTGTTATTTTGGTGGTTAATTGAAGATAAGTCTCATGGATTTTCCTGCCCAGGCAGGCTTTGAACTGCAGTCCTCAGATCTCAGATTACAGGTGTGAGCCACTTTTAACACTCTTTTTACTTTTTAGGCATATTCTTTAGTGGATCGTGAAGTTGGTTACTGTCAAGGAAGTGCTTTTATAGTTGGATTATTGCTTATGCAGGTAAGCTAAAACAAGTATTAAGTGTCAAGTTCGTTATTTAAGTTGGATTGTAGATTTTTTGTGTGTGTGTGTATGTATATTTGGTCTTGAGGCTTGAACTCAAGGCCTGATGCTGTTTCTGAGCTTTTATACTCAAAGCTAGTGCTCTACCATTTGAGCTCTACTTCCAGCTTTTATTTGTTTAGCTATTTGTTTGTTTTTGGTGCTTAGTTAGAGATAAAAGTCTCTGAGACACTTCTGCCTTGGTCAGTATCCTGAAATCTCAGCTTCCTCAATATTTAGGATTATAGATGGTAGATTGCTGAATTTAAAAATCATGTTTTTAGTAAGTATAAGTAGATAGGGAATATTTCTTCCCAGGCATAATTTGAATAGTAATATTTTAGTCTGCACTTTGGAAGAGGAAAATTGTTGAAATGATGTAAATAATAATTTCTTGCCACCAAATGAAATTTCAGTGATTTCTCCTTCTCACTTTCTTTCTTTCTTTTCTTTCTTTTTTTTTTTTTTTTGTCTGTTGTGGGGCTTGAACTCTGGCATGGGCTCTGTCCTTCAGCTCTTTAGCTCAAGACTAGAGCTCTACCACTTGAGTCACATTGCCACTTCTGGTTTTATGAGTGGTTTATTGGAGATAAGAGTCTCATGGACTTTTCTGCCTGGGCTGGCTTTGAACTCCTCAGATCTCAGCCTCCAGAGTAGCTAGAATTAAAGGCGTGAGCCACCAGCTCTTCCATCTCACTTTCTCTGCTCCTTCCCATTTTGTAGAGTTATACTTACTTACCTGGCTGTAACTCCTCTTCACTATACCTCCTCTGGTCCTACCTAATGCTGGCCAAACTTACTTAGCTTGCCATGCTTTCTCCTGATTATACTCCTGATTCTACATACTTATTTCTGGTTCCTTCCAGTGCTATGAGAGAGAAAATAATCCCTTTAAGATAGAGCCAGGTTTCAACCAAAGGAAGAGAATTCTTGAAAGAGGATATTGAGCTTATTGGTAGAAGTTTGGAAATGGAGTGAGATTAGGGAACAGTGGAATCAGAGAGGATTGCTCTGAGATCTTTGCCTTTTGTAGTGACTGAAATAAATCATTAGGGCTGGAAGGTCTAGTAGGATAATAGATGGTTTCCAAGACAGAATTGTGGCTATGTAAGGAGGGAAGAAGGAAGGAAATGTAGGTTTTGCCAAAATTAACTCTTGGATTATCTCCACTTTGTGTTATGGCAAAAAAATGTAGTTATCTTCTATAGTCTTCCCTAAGAAGAATGCCTAGAGATCCTTGTCCTTTTTCTCTTTTAGAACTCCATATAGTATAATCTTTTTTTTTTTTTTTTTTGTCAGTCGTGGGGCTTGAACTCTGGGCTTAGGTGCTGTCCCTGCGCTCTTCAGCTCAAGGCAAGCGCTCTATCGCTTGAGCCACAGCACTACTCCCGGTTTTATTGGAGATAAGAATCTCACAGACTTTCTGGCCCAGGCTGGCTTTGAACCATGATCCTCAGATCTCAGCCTCCTGAGTAGCTAGGATTACAGGCATTAGCCACCGGCACCCGGCTTTCCATATAATATAATCTTAAGTGAATGAGAATCGACAAATACTATTTTGAGAAAGATGACTTAGCAATTTAGATGTTATTTGATTAAACATTTTGAATCTTTGTAGCCCTTTATAGAGGTTTCAAAAATGTTTTATTTGGGGGCTGGGAAGGTGGCTCATTGGTAGAGCACTTGCCTTGCACGCATGAGGCCCTAGGTTCGATTCCTCAGCACCCCATAAGCAAAAAGAAAAAAGCCGGAAGTGGTGCTGTGGCTCAAGTGGTAGAGCGCTAGCCTTGAGCTGAAGAGCT